ACTCTAGAAGCTGTCCCAGGACTGCCTGAGGCTTTAGGGGGGGCACAACTAGACATCGTAACAGCCGCCACACAGGCTGGCTGGTGGGAATGTTAATGGTGGAGTACCACGGAAAGTAGCAGTGGCTCAAAATAACTCTAGGAGGGCTGGTGAGATAGTTCAGTGGACTAAACATCTGCTTAGGCATGCTCAGGGACCAGGACCCAATCCCTGGCACCACGTGCTCTACTGGTCCTGCCCTCAGGTGTGCTGAGTGAGTCACTGAGACTGGGTGTGGTGGCACACACCTATAATCCCAGCATTGGGGAGGCTGAAAACAGGAGGATCGCTATGAGTCAGAGATGCGTAGTGAGACCCTGTACCAAATACAAAATAAAAACTTTAGGACCAGGTGTCCCTATGAGACCCCTCTGCCACCCTCAGACCCCAGCAGGCCCTGGGTACCTGGGTCTCCTGGCTTCCTGGATCTCTGTTCCCTCTGCCACCTTTCCCATGAGCACTTGGTGGCAGGTCCTGCAGAAGGCTGGGTGGGTTACCTGACTGTCCCCATGGGTGGTGGCAAGGGCAGTTATTGGGAGTGGCCCCTTCTCAGGAGGGCCGACCCTTGCCCCCCCCCCTTTTATTTCCAGCACTGGGGGTTGAGCCCAGGGCCCCTGAACTGAGCTACACCCACAGCCCATTATTTGTTTTTATTTTGAGGTAGTCTTAACTCTCCATGCTGCTTAGGCTGGGCTTGAACTTTCCATCCTCCTGCCTCAGCCTCCCAGAGTACTGGAATTAAATGATGTGCTGGCATATTTAGCTATTGTCACCATCACAAAAAAGGCATATCTTGGTACTGCAGATTGAAGCCAGAACCTGACACACACACTATACCACTGTCTGGTGCCGTGGGCAGAACTCAAGACACACATTACTATACCCCTGAGCCACATCCCCAGCCCTTGTTTTTCTTGATTTTGTTGTTTTGAGACAGGACCTTCCTGTGCAGCCCGCACTGGCCTTGAACTCAAGGTGATCCTCCAGCCTCAACCTCCTGAGAGTTGGAATTACAAGCATGTGCCACTACACCTGGATAGACATTCCCTTTTTGCAGCCGGACTAGGAGGCAAAAGGTGGAAAGAGCAGGTCCTGAGGGCTGAGGCGCAGGATAGAGGAGGGCCTGCGGCTCCTGCCCCAACTGTGACCTGGCAGCGGGGCTCCCACGGGCGGGCTCTGCCCGGCTTCTTGCTGGTGGGGCTGCTGCCTGCTCACTATTTTCAGGGCTTCAGACTCAGCCCAGGTCACCCCAGGCTCCTTCCTGTCTCGTCTCCTTCCTTCAGCTCCCTGAACTTCAGCTCAGGGAGCTGGGCCTCCGTGTGTTGTTTGTGTGTGTGTGCACACGCACGTGCGCGCATGTGCATCCCTCATTAATTCAGGGACTCTTCCACTGAGCTATATCCCCACCCTTTTGATTTATTTAGAGACATCTAAGTTCCCCAGGCTGGGCTCGAAATTGCAATCTTCCTGCCTCAGCCTCCTCAGATCTTGGGACTAACAGGTGCATACCACCACTGGTATAGTTTTGGAGCTGGACAGACTGTGTGCACCCTGTTCTCCCAGGGGTGCTGGAACCCTAACCTGCAAAAAGCCAGGCGCAGGAGGGACTTCAAGGTGCTATGGTTTGTGCCCTGTGGCATTTATAACGCAGAAAGACAAATTATTATACGTTAGCTACTGAAGCAATAATTTAAAAGTTTTTACTTATTAAAGCTACAGCGTTTTTTGTTTTTGGTATCAGGAATCAAGCTCATTACCTCACGCTTGCCAGGCAGGTGCTGTGCTACTAAACGACATGCTGGCCCTAAAGCTACTGCTTACAAGCCTCCTTTCCTAAGCTTTACATTTATTGTGCAGATCATATTGGTCTCTTTATTTTTATTTATTTATTTATTTATTTATTTATTTATTTATTTATTTTTGCTGTACTGGGGGTTGAACTCAGGACCTAGTGCTTGCCAAGCAGGGACTTATTCTACTGAGCTATCTCCCAAGCCCTGGTTTCTTTATAAATATAATAAATTTGAAAAAAAAAATTGAAACAGGATCTCCCTAGATCATCCAGGCTGGCCTCAAGCTCATAGTGATCCTCCTGCCTCAGCCTCCTGAATGCTGGGATTATGCACATGAACCACCACACTGCGCGTTGGCAGCTATTTATTTATTTACTTTGGCAAAACCAGGGATTGAACTCAGGCCCTTGGGCTTGCCAGGGAAGCGCTTCTACTGAGCCATCTCCTCAGCCCCAGCAGCTTTCAATATAACTTCAAATATTTTAAATTACATCTGTCAATGTAACACCTTTTTTGTTGTTTTTTGAAGTACTGGGATTGAACTCAGGGCCTTTGCACTGAGCTGTGTTCCTAGACTTCTTGCTAAATTTAAGACAGGGTTTACCAAGGGCCAGCCAGCCAGCTCAGCAGATTAAAGCGCCTGCTTAGGCAGGTGCAAGGACCAGGGTTCAATCCCTCAAGTGCAGTGTTGGCCCCACCCCCCCAGGGCGCACTGAGACAGCGATTGAGACTGGGCATGACAGTATGCACCTATAATCCCAGTGCTTGGGAGGCTGTGTAGTGAGAATCCTGCAGACCGTATACTAAATACATTAAAAAGACAGGGTTTACCTAAATGGCTAAATTGCTGAGGTTAAGTAAGAACGTGTCATCCTCCTGCCTCAGCCTCCCAGAGTACTGGCATTCTTTTAAAACATTGTTTATAGGGAAGGGAATGCATATAGATTTCTTTTTGGGATAGTGAAATTTTAAAGATTTATATTGTAGGGGTGGGGAGATAGCTCAGTAGAATAAGCACTTGCCTGGCAAGCTCAAGGGCCTGAGTTCAATCCCCGGTACCAAAAAAAAAAAAAAAAAAAAAAAAAAAAAAAAAAAAATATATATATATATATATATATATATATATATATATATTAGATGATGTTTGAGCAACTCTGAATTGATTAAAAATTATTATTTTGGTTTTTGAGACAGGATCTTGCTAGATAGTTCAGGCTGGTCTCAAACTCAGCAGGGATGCTCCTGCCTCAGCCTCCAGAGTGCTGGGATTATAGATGTGCACCACTATGCCAGGCTTTTCAATTCTTTCACGTACTTCCCGAGTCCATGTCACTTAGGGATCGTAATGCACTGATGTGGTGCTTACTTGCGTCTTGGTTGTTACACATGGCTTTCTGGTCATTCTTTCCCCCCACTGCCCTTTTGCACCCTTCACTTTGCAGGACAGTGTGTTGGGATTGCCCGCAATGCCAGGCAAGGCCTCTGCCACTGAGCTGCACTCCCAGTCCAGTGCCAAGTTTTTGTCTTGTTACCATCTACTTGTGGGGCTACTGATTTTGTACGCACTTAGCAGCCTTTTGTTTGGTTTTGTTGAGAAAGTGTCTCCCTCTTAGGTCAGGCTGGCCTTGAACTCATGGCGATCCTCCTGCCTTAGCCTCCTGAGTGTTTTGATTATAGGTGTGCCCCATCACTGGACAACTAAGTGGACTTTTGAGTTCTAACATTGCAGCATAGGGACCAGGGGCCTCCGATGGCCTGGGCTGCGACTCCACTGCCCAAGGATGGCTCTGGCTTCTCAGAGGGGCCCCTGGGTGGCTCTGCTAGTGATCAGAGAGACATGCCAAGGGCAGGTGAGAAGGTGGCAGGGGTTGTGGCAAAGATGAACAATTCAGTGTGGCAAATGTGAGGTCACCTGGGAGACTGGACAGCGGGAAGGGGCAGTTCTGGGGCATACAGGGCCCCTCATGGGCTTGTCAGCCAAGTCTCCCAGTCGCATGGCGACCACACGGGAAGCGTCAAAGGCTGGGGTTCGAAGAGCTGCTGGACAGTGCCAGGGTGAAGAAGCCGGCCGGGTGGGCAGGAGAATCTACCATGCTTAGTCTTGAGGGGAGCAGGCCGGGCATGGAGGGTGCAGGAGGGCCCGAACACCACCACTGAGCGCGTAAGGTTGGGCCTGTGGTGCACACCTGCAATCCCAGCACTGGGGAAGGTGAGGCAGGAGGAGCTGAGTCCGGAGTTCGAGGGTAGGCATACCCTACTCTTAACTTTCTAGGCTTGCGGGCTCCTGCCGGGAGAGTGGCAGAGGCGGGACAAGGACTTCATCCACCGTATTGCTCTTCCCCTCACCCTGCTCTGCTTTGGCAGATGAAGCGTGGCAACGCAGGATGCACAAATCCCCAGTCAGAGGCCGCGAACCAAAGCTTTTCCCGAGTGCATTTTACTACAAGCATCGTTAGTGTCTTTGCCTAAAGGGATTCACCCAGAAGCCCGCACCGTCCACCCGCGGAGGGCGGTGTGCGGGGCAGTGGGGCGGAGGCATAGGGCAGAAACGCGCGCGGGGTCCCCGCAGGTACGGGCCTGGCCGGGTTCCTGCGCAATGGCTTCCTCCTGGAGAAAGCGCGAAGTGTGTGCAAGATATTTCAGGAAAGTAGGGCATTTTGAGACCATTTCATAACCGCTTAGGCTAGGGGCGGGGAGCCTCACTGCGACCTCGCCCGGGAGGCCGCGGACTGCGGACCCGGGCGATGCGGGGCCCGGACTCCGCCCGCCTACGCCTGCCCGCACTTCCGCAGCGGCGCGGCGGGCAGAGTGCGGGGGCCCGCTCGACCTTGAGGGGCGGCGCGACCTTGAGGCCTGCGTCCGCCTCAGTGGCTCCCCGTGTGTAATGGGACGAGTCGACCCCACGCGGGGCAGAGCACTAATCCTCACTGCTCTCCCGGCTGGCCCCGCCGCCCTCCACGGCGTGGCTCGGCCCCTCCCCCTCGGGCCTCACCACCGCCCCGCGCCCAGCGCCCCGCGCCCAGCGCCGCAGCCACCGCGACGGAGCCCGCGGGCGGGAACCTGTCTCCGCGCGCTAGAGCGCAGGCGCGCATCCAGCCCCGCCCCCGCCGCGCCACCCTCTGTCCATAGGCCATCTGCACTGTCACTCCAGTCCGGTTACGGCTGCGATTGGCCAAAGTCTAGGCGCGCGACCGGGCTGTAGGCGGAACCTGGAATCGTTATAAAAGAAGCGGGCGTCCAGGCCCGTGCCGCTTTGCAGACGCCTCTATCCTTCCTCTTAGTCGTTTGTTGCCAACCATGGTCAACCCCACCGTGTTCTTCGATATCGCTGCCGACGGCGAGCCCTTGGGCCGCGTCTCTTTCGAGGTTGGGCTGGCGATGGCGCGGCAGGGTGGGGCCTGGGAAGCCGGCAGCGGATGGGTCGGGTGGAGGCGCTTCGAGGGCAGGGCTCGGAGGACCCTCCTGAGGAGCGGGTTAGCGCGGGCGGCGGCGGCGCCATTTCCTGACGAGGGGCCATTTTGGGAGGCCGGCGAGGCGCGAGAGGAGGCCGAGCGCGGACAAAGGCGGGCGGGGCGGCGGTTGGGGGAGGGGGCATCGGCCCCGCCGTTGCCCTGCGGCCCACGTGGCCGCGCCCTGGCCGGCCGGCGCACGTGCTCGGGCCGCGCTCGCGCTCTGTGGCCGCCGCCCGCCCGCGGGAGCCGGAAGCCGGGCCGGAGGCGCGAGTTGGGCAGGAGGGCGTCCACTAGGGCTCACCACCTCCGGATGCGTAAAACACGGGAAGCGATTTAGGAGCAGGCCCCGGATACCCCTCCGCGCCTCTCCCCGAGCAGAAATGGGGATGCAGATCGTGGGGAGGCGCCAGCACTTTTCCGCTGTCCCCGCAGTAGTCGGGCGTGGCCCAACCGCATGCCCAAAACGACAGCCAGTCATCCGAGGTGTGGGTGGCCACTTAAATCAGAAGTCACTGCATAATCGAATCACTCTGGCTTTTTTGGGGGGTGGGTGCAAAGTTAAATATTAGATTCTGTTCCAAGCAGACGTAAGGGTGTAGTGAAGTTAGCAATGGTTTAGTGTGTTCAGTCTCCTAAACCACTTCTTGGAGAGCTCCCGATGGTGATAGCGCACGCTCCTCTAACCAGCATGCCTCCCTTATATTCGGACTTAAAAAAGGGCGAGGGGATTGCCCTGGCCACGGTACCCGGCGCATTGGAGACCCAGCGGGTGTGGAGAAACGTTAGATTCTACTCTCTTTAACGCTGCTTTTATCCTAGTCGGAGTTGATCATTGACAGGGCCCTGGTGGAAACTTGGCCTTGGGTGTCAGGCTGGGCCAGGGTATCAGGTGAGCCAGAGCAGGAGGCCCATGCAAGGTGGGAAGTGCTGGAAACAAAACACTGCAGCTTCCATGCTTAGGATTTTAAAAACAAATCAGTACATTCCTGTGGACAGGTACAGGAATACTGCTGATGGGTGTACCCATGTCTGGAGTATGTGACACAGAGGGTCCTTAAAAACCAGGCTGTGCAAGTGTGATCGTTTGCTGCGGTGTAGCGAGCCCTCCTAGTAGGTGAGGGACATGGAAACCAGAGTGACTGGGTGATCATGAAGGTGTGTTGGCAGGTTGGAGGTGGCATCCTCAGTGACAGTGACTCGGTGGATAACTTCTTGTTTAGGCTGCTGCCACATGGGGTTGGGGAAGGTGAGGTACATTTGAGAAGCTGTTGATCTGTCCCCAAGTAGGTGTGATGCATTAGAAGTTCTGAGTCACTTTTTAGGAGTTTCTCACTATCTAAGTCATTACTAGTTCTGGATTTTTGGCAGGACTTTGGGTCTCATGTTTCTCAACCCAGGTTTGCCAGCCCTTAGTGCTGTCAGGAGCAGTTCTTATTTGGGACCAAGAGTCATGACTGAAGAAACATTCTCCTGTAGTGAGAAAATGAATTTATGATTATGATTCAGAAACCTCTAGACATGGGCACTTAAGTGTTGGAAAACTTGTATTCTTGTGGTGTTAAGTATCACTTTTCTCTTACAGCTGTTTGCAGACAAAGTTCCAAAGACGGCAGGTTGGTTCCATTTTCTGAGTTTGAGAAATTATTCCTAATGAGTATTTCTGTGTGTATAGTTAATACGTATATTTTTTTTTACAGAAAACTTTCGTGCTCTGAGCACTGGAGAGAAAGGATTTGGTTATAAGGGTTCCTGCTTTCACAGAATTATTCCAGGATTTATGTGCCAGGTACGGAAAGAGCTGCTATTCTCTTGGGTTGGTCCCTCAGTGGGGGGTGAGTCAGTATGTCGGGATGTACATCTGCTGAGCTGTGTGTCATTTCCTAGTCCCGTCTACAGTTTCAAAGTTTGAGCCTTGTCAATGAAACATGCTTTCTGATTGTGTTGCTTGGGTGACAGGTTCTTGTCATGTTTTCAGGGTGGTGACTTCACGCGCCACAATGGCACTGGCGGCAAGTCCATCTACGGGGAGAAATTTGATGATGAGAACTTCATCCTGAAGCACACAGGCCCGGGCATCTTGTCCATGGCAAATGCTGGGCCAAACACAAACGGGTCCCAGTTTTTCATCTGCACTGCCAAGACTGAGTGGTAAACACAGGGCAAGGGCACAGGTGCACCCTGCAAGGCTGGAGAGAAGAGGGGTGCTGCAGGGCAAGGCTTAGCTTTCCCTGGGGCTAGTGTTCAAATCAGAGAGGTGTCCTGGGAGAGGCCTGTTTAAGGACAGCTTAGACAGTGTTAACAGAAGCAAGCTCCTGGGAGCAGTGGGGCACTTAGGCTGTGACTCTGTGTGTGTGTGTGTGTGTGTATGTATAAAACTTGTGATTGGCTGTTTTTATTTTTTGAGATTGGCTCATAGTTATTTTCATGCTACTATTTGAGAAAGCCACCTAGGTGACTGCTAGCATTTGTTGAGGAGCTTGAGCTGGCAGTCGGGGTTGGTGGGGTCCCTGCTCCTCATTACTAAGTGTAGCCCTCGGGTTAACCCCATGCTTCCAGGCTGGATGGCAAGCACGTGGTCTTCGGGAAGGTGAAAGAGGGCATGAACACGGTGGAGGCCATGGAGCGCTTCGGGTCCAGGAACGGCAAGACCAGCAAGATGATCACCATCACCGACTGTGGACAGCTCTAACGCGTGTGACTTGTGTGTGTTGCCACCGCCAGACCAGACCATTCCTCTAGCTCAGGAGAGCACCCTTTGCCCTCCCTGCTCAAGACACCCCATCATCTCTGCTCTTCTTGCAGTTCTTTGGGTTCCATGTTTTCCTTGCTCCCCTCCAAATGTACCTGGATTGCAGAGTTAAGTTTATGGTTATGAATAAAGCTAAATAATGGTTGCCTCTTGTTGTTTGGGATAGAGTGATGTAGGAACAGTACTGAGACCAGCTTTCTGTGAGGACTTTGTGGTTACTTTTTCTAACCCAAGAAATCAGTCTGCTGAGTATGGCTGGGTGGGTGAGAGCAGATGGGGTCTCCTGTGGGCAGTGGTACTGTGTGTGAAGTTAGCAGATGAACTCTGCTTGGTTGGGAGGTGGCCCAAGGCCTGGGAAGATAGGCAGGGCAGTGCAGGCTCTGCAGTCTTAGAAATGTCCAGCCAAGGTTATAGGTGACAAGGCCCAGGGAGATGGCTCAGTGGAATAAGCGCTTCCCTGGCAAGCGCAAGGGCCTGAGTGCAATCCCTGGTTCTGCAAAAAAAAAAAAAAAAATAAAGTGACAGTAGTCTTTAACAGCGGTAGGTACCATCATTCTCTTGGTTGGAGGTTGAGCTTCCCTCACAGGACCACCTTTGCCCATGGTTGTCTGGAGCTCTGCTGGGACAAGGATTTACGAAGAGCCTATTTCTGGGGACTGCTGCTCAGACGACAGGTCCGTCACCCATGGGAAGGAATGGCAGTCAACAGGTCAGTGTGCGCTGGAAGTGGGACAGGGACTTAGAAGGGCAGATTAGGGTGGTTTCACTCGGGGCAGATGTGCTAGGTAGTCTTGGCACAAAAGGGTACTTTGGGGCTTCCAGTAGCTACTGGTAGGTGCTGTTGCTTTCTTGATTTAGGAGGGTGGTTCTGGAGATTTTTTTAAAAAGGCTGGCATCAAACTTCAAACGATCTGCATCTTGGGCCTAGGGCAGCAGCTCGGGAGGTCACAGGACACGTCCCAAGCGGGGCTGGGTTGAGAGCACACACTTGCAGTGTTCCTGGGTTGAGCCCATCTGGGTGGCCACTGCTGCTTTTCAGTGTGATATGTAACCCTAAGATGGATCCCAGGGCTGGTAGGGAGAGAGTTACAAGCACCTTCAATTTGACATGAGATATACATGAAAAGCTAATTCTAAATCTATTTTAGAGACAAGGAAGTCTACTGTAGATATTGTAGATTTCAGATTCTCTGGGTGCTATTAGGCATCAGGCAACCCCAACCTTCCACTCACCCAGCCTGGGGATGTGGGTGGCCAGGGCTGGTCAGGCAGCTTCAGAAACTGGAAGCAATTCTCTGGAGACAGCTTAGGTCAGCCTCGGCCGTTTACGTGGAGCATATGTAATTCTGTCCTGTGAAGTGGAAAGTGGGAAAAGCAGAAAGCCACAGGCAATGACCACCATCATGCTGCACACAAGTGGAGTCTGTGTTCTTGCTTCCAGCACTCTGCTGAGAAAGCATTATGGGCAGAATATAAGAAAAACCTAAAGCTGACAACGGTAGTCAAGCTTGTTTTTCCTGTTATTTGGAAGAAATACATTTAATACTCCATTTTTTTATTATGTGATATACTCATCTACGTAATTAAAATAGTGTGAGAACTCTGGTGGTGGGCAACCCCATCTATGAGTTAAATTTTTTTGAGATAGAGTCTTGAACTCGCTGTGTATCCTGGGTTGACCTCAAAGTTGTGATCTTGCCTGCGCTTCCTGGGTGCTGAGATTACAGGTGTGAGAAGCCACACCCCATGAGAGCCAGCCAGTTTGTTCTGGTGACCAGCTGTGAGTGGCCATCTGTACAGATATCCCCTCAGAGCTCATGGGATTTTGTGTCACATCTAATGTACAGGAGGTCTTTGGTAAAGAGCTCATAATTTTGTTTGGGTTTTTTTGGGTATAGGGGATTGAATTTTGTCCTTGTGCTTGCTAGGCAGGTAGGTAGGTGCTTGTGCTGCTGAGCCATTTCCCCGGCCCTAGAGCTCATGTTTTGTTTTTTGGTTTTGTAGTTTAGGGAAGGATCTACAGGGTCTCACTACTAGGTCAGACTTATAGTGATCCTGTTTACAGCCTCCCAAAAGCTGGGATTACAGGCACGCACCAGCTCAGATTGTGGATTCACTAACTCCCATGTGTTCCTTTCAGAGATCCATGATGTATACAGTGATTGGGAGTTTTCTAAGTACAGCATTTGGATCCTGGGGGGAAAATGAGCAAGTGCAGCTAGTTGCCAGACACCCGTTTTAACACGGCTGTTTTGGCTGGATTGTACATCCCCCGGGCACGGGGTGCTCCTTGTGAGCTCTGCAGCGCACTTCCTATCTGCTGACCCAGGAGCTACTGGACACTCTCACTCTTGGTCCGTTCAGCAGTCCCCCTCCACCCCAGCAGCTGGCCAGGGGCACAGTTCCTGTCCTCGAGTGGACCTGAGGACCAAGACAGGGCCTTGGATTGAGCTCTGTCCCCAGCCCTTTCTGAGATGGGGGTCTCACTGAGCAACCCAGGCTTTCTGCCTCAGCTCCTAGGGAGCAGGGATTGTCAGGGTGCACCACCACATACAGCTCATGTTCTGCTGTGAAATGCTGCATTTCTGCTAGAAATGCTGCCTGAGCTGGGTGTGCTGGTGCACACTTGTCCCAGCACTGGGGAGACTGAGGAAGAACATTGCCGTGAGTTGGAGGCCAGGCTACATGGTGAGACCCTGTCTCAAAAAAAGAGGGAAAAAAAAAAAAAAAAAAGCCAGTATAATAGTTGATACATTTTGTCAATGTGAGACAGGTTCTTTTCCTTTCTTTGGCAGAACTCGCTAGTCTACTGAACTATCTCCCCAGCTCACTTTTTTTGCTTTTTTTTTTTTTTTTATGGTGGGAATCAAACCTTGCACTTGCCCAGCAAGCCCTGCACTACTGAGCTACATCCCTGGCCCCATCGTGTCAATTTAAGAAGTTTCGAAGCTTAACTAAGTGACTCAGCAGTTCTAGAAGCCAGGGTAGAGGATGTGCCCTAGGGCGGCTGTTTGCTCCCTAGGATGTTGTAATGGTTCATTCCTTGTGCCAGTTTGAGAAGTTTTAGAAGTCTGACTACGTGACCAGTCCTCATTCTGTGCAGGGCGATGGGGTGAGTGCCACAGCCACCGGGATGGGCAGCCTGCATGTAATGTAAGGGAGGTAAAGAGGCTTGCTCTCTCCCCTTGTGCTCTTGTTGCTTTTGCTGGCTTCTACTGCTAGGGAGCTGTGTAACTCCATGTGCCAGCTTGCCTCTGTGCCATGTCACCCTGCCTTGGAGCCAGCTGATTACAGACTGAAACCTCAACAAACTGAGTTAAGCATCTCCTTCCTTCATTTTGGGCATGGAGTATTTTGTCCAGCAATGAGAGAAAAGTAAGCAACACAGTCAGGCTGACTTAACACCCAGGCTATGCAGGCTTTCAGGGGTCTTCCACTTGGGGCGCAGCACTCTGCCTGTGCTTGCTGGCTTGGAGGATGAAGGAAAGCCACTTGGCCAGCAAGCGTCAATGAAGGCTGCAGGCCTGCCCATCACCTGCCACCTAGGCCTCTGGTTAGGCACAGCTGTCAAGCGGTGTCTGGCGGAAGCCTGAGGACCTTCATGGCCAGGTGCTTCACACGGCTGGCTCCAAGCCCAGGCCCTACTTCCCACACGGTACTCAGGGTCCCTTTTACATTCTTGGACCCACAGGGCACCCCAGGGCTCCCCAGCTCCTATGTTCTCCCGTGCTTCTTGGGGCTCATGGTGGAAGTGGTCATCAGTTTATTTCCTGAACCAGGGATCAAACAACCTCATGCCACGTGCTTATGGCGCTGAGCTATCTCCCTAGCCCTTATTTTTACTTTTTTGGCGGAACTGGGGATTGAACTCAGGCCCCTGCCCTTGCAAGGGAAGTGCTTATTCCACTGAGTCATCCCCTCCTAGCCCTTATTTTTAATGAGAGCTAAACTGAATCACTTTATGTTTTGCAGAACTGGGGATTGAACTCAGGCCCTTGTGCTTGCCAGGAAGTGCTTATCCCACTGAGCCATCTCCCTGGCCCCAAATAATAATAATAATAATTTTTTTTTTTTTTTTTTTTGCGGAACCAGGGATTGAACTCAGGCCCTTCAAGCGCTTATTCTTCTGAGCTATCTCCTCAGCCCCAAGAATTTCTATACAAATATGAGTTTGGGGGTGCTGGGGAGATGGCTCAGTAGAATAAAAGCTTGCCTCACAAGCACAAGTGCCTGAGTTAAATCCACAGTTGTAGAAAAAAAAGAAAAAGAAATATGAGTTTGAAAAAAACTTTTTTTTTTTTTTTTTTTTTTTTTTGGCAAGTGCAAGGACCTGAGTTCAATCCCTAAAAAAAAAAAAAAAAAAAAAAAAAAAAGTCCTTAGAAGAGACAGCTTCCTGGGCAACCCACACTGGTCCCCCCTTCTGTCCTTCTCAGACAGGAGCTTTCTTTCCCCAGAAAATATATCCTCCTAACTTTCATTGTTCCTACAATTCATTCTTTGGTTTTAGAGAAGAGGAACTCGTCCCAGGTAACTTTTTTTTTTGTGTGTGAAACCGGGGATTGAACTCAGACCCTTGCATTTACCAGGCGAGCACTTATTCTACTGAGCCATCTCCCTGGCCCCCCAGGTAACTTTTAAGTTGGAAGTTTCATACCATTATATCAATCAGATTATATAAATCAACACTTCATCAGCCCCAACTCTTATTGTCTCTTTGTGCTGGGAGCATTCAGCATCCTCTTTACTAGCTATTTATAAATGTATAATTAGTTGTTGTCAACCACAGTTACCCTATTGTATTTTTGTTGTTGTTGTTGTTGTTCATTTGTTTGAGTCAGGGTCTCACTATGTAGTTCAGGCTGGCCTTGAATTCACCCTGTATAGTGAGCCTCCTTTTTCAGCCTCCTCAGTACTGAGATTAGAGGCATGCGATACTGAAGCCAGCTCTAGACTTTTTTTTTTTTTTTTTTTGCAGTTCAGGATGGCCTTGAACTCACTATATAACCCAGTTCTCCAATTTGTGGTGTTCCTCCTGCCTCAGCCTCCTGAGGGTTAGGATTAGAAGTATGTGCCAGCATGTCCTGCCTATACTTTAGAACATTAGAAATATCCCTTATATCCAACTGCATTCCACTTAATCAGTTTCTCAGGTCAGTGCCATTCTGTCTGCAGTGGCCAACAGTCAGGTTCTAGTTTGTGCCTTGTTAGGGTTCCTCCAAAGCCTCATGCAGTCATGGGGTGGAGATGTCTACAGTTTGTGATTCACTCATAATCCACTGGGATTATGGGTGATCTAAGGCTGGGATTATGGATTTTTATTATTATTATTTTTTATATTTTAGGGAAGGGTCTACAGGGTGTTCAGGGTCTTACCACTTGATTGGACTCATAGTGATTCTCCTATTTACAGCCTCCCAAGTGCTGGGATTACAGGCGCATGCTACCATACCCAGTCTGAATTGCTGGCTCAGCATGCCCCAGCGGCAGGGCCAGCATGGCAAGCCCAGAGTTTGAGCAAGCCCCCAGCTCCTGCGCCTGCTTGCTGGAGCTTTAATCCACTGAGCTATTTGGCTGGGCTTTGGGATTATGAGTTTTAGTACTGCCGAGACTATGTGTGTGTGCACTTCCTCCAGCCTAGGGCAGAGAGCCTAAATATAATTTAAGAGAGATAGACTTCCTCTCTGTCACCAATGTTGCTGCTACTCCTCCCTTAGCTCCTCTTGCTCTTTGCCACCATGAACTGCTGCCCTCTGCCCTGTACCACTCTGCCTTGGAGCCAGCCGAGTATGGACTAAAATTTTCAGTAACTGTGAGCTGCATAAACCTTCCCTTCCTTCATTTTGGGTGTCAGGTATTTGTCCCAGCAACAAGAGAAGAGTAACTAAGAAAGGCCCTATTATTCCTTCTCAGTTGCTTGTGAACGCTGGAAGGTCCTTTGCAGGTGACCTGAACCCCAGTCTTTAAAGAATTAAAAACAAAAGAGGAGCAGGGCATAGTGTACACACCTGCAATTCCAGCTATTCTGAAGGTTGAAGAAAGAAGATGGCTGTTGGAGGCCAGCCTGGGAAGAGGAGTGAAACCTGGTCTCAAAACCAAAATAAAAGCTGGCCATAGTTGTATACACCTGTAATCGCAGCACTCAGGAGGCTGAGTCAGGAAGATCACTGAGTTACAGGCCAGCCTGAGCTACAAAGTAAGACCCTACCTGAAAATACACACACACACACACACACACAC